AAAGATGGTAACCAGTGAGCTGACCAGTGGCTTTGGGGGCAATGTGTTAGCTTGCATTGTTAAAGGTAGTCATTAGAAATGGAGTGGGATTTTATGATTTAGGATTAATAGAGCTTGAGCTGGAAGGGACCCCAAACATTATCTAGTTTGACTCCTCCTTTTACAGATGAGAAAACTGAGGAAGTGATTTGCTCAAGGCAACATAGGTAGTAAGCATCAGAGGGGTTAGGTCCTCTGTGTTCATGGTAGGATTTGATAATGTGTTAATTTAATATGCAACATATTACGCAATTTGATTTTAATATTTTCGTTTAAATTATAGAAATTGTTGCTGAGTTGTATCAGTCATTGTCCGACTCTTTGTGATCGTATTTGGGGTCTTCTTGGCAAAGACACTTGGAGTGGTTTGACATTTCCTTCTCTAGCTTATTTGACAGATGAAGAAATGAGGCAAACAGGGTGAAGTGACTTCTCCAGGGTCACACAGCTAGTAAGTGTATGAGGCCAGATTTGAACATAGGAAGAAGAGTCTTCCTGACTCCAGGCCCAGCATTGTATGCACTATGGCGCCACCTAGTCACCCCATTATTCCCATAATACAGGTGAGGAAACTGAGGGTCAGCATGGTGAAGTGACTTTTTCCCTTGACAGAGCTGGGAATCAAACCCAGGTCTTCTGACTTAAGGGCCAGTGTCCTTCCCTTTTTATACCACACTTCTTCCCTAGTTGTGGTACTCAATAGAAGCCCTATGTTGGAAGTTCTATTTTGCAAAGAAGGTTCAAGTTCATTAGTAACATTTACTGCTCACCAGGCAAGAATGTGTCCCATGTACAAGTTGCCTCCCCCATTATAATTCTTCAGGGTAGGATTGTTTTGCTTTTTTCTTTGCAATCTTCAGAGTTTAGCTGGGTGTTTAGCACATAGTAGACACTTAATATTTGTCGGTTGGTGGGCCCATGTGAGAGGAGGCTGAAAGAAATTGGTGTGTACTTAGAAGTACATAGGACAAAATCTCCTTTTTTATTGGGATTCCATGGGATTTTGTTAAGGTGATAACTTTGAGTGTACTTAGAGCAGACAGATTCTCGTGTTTTCTTAGACCTAGTCATTTGGAACATTGAGGGGAGTGGGTCGGGGTGATATATCTAGGAAAGGCAGGTCAGAATTTGTCAACCAAGTCAAAATTCTGCAGATCTTAGAGTTTTGGAATATTTTTCCCCTTAAAGTTGTCTCAAGAATATTGAAAAACTCTTCCCTTTTAAAGGAAACTCAACGTGTGTTTCAGACAGTCACATTGCCATCAGGAAAGTTGATTCTCTTTGCAGATATTCCCAAGACCATTTATTTTACAATAAAGGAAGGAGTGAAAACTCAGGCATGGAATATTGCATAGGAGCATAGATTTAGAATACAAAAATAATTTTTGAGATCACCCAGTCCATGGGTTCTTAATTGGGTCCATGGACTTGTTTTTTTTAAAAAAAAATGATAACAGTCTTTCAACATAATTTAATTTTCTTTGTCATCTCTATGTATTTTCTTTCTGCATTTAAAAACATTCTGAGAAGGCTACATAGGCTTTACCAGAATGCTAAAGGGATCCAGAATCCAAAAAAGGTTAAGAATCTCTTGTCTAGGAGAGTAAGGACCAAAAGTTCCCAAGTCTGCATAGGTAAGCAGAGGCATGTTTAAAGGGTACAGGTTCCCCACCCCTGGTATAGCATGTCTGCCAAGGCACACCCTAATGCCTCCTTCCTCCCCCTCCTCCCGCCAATGGCATTTTATGTCTTATTTAGAAAAATAAAATAAACTTAGGTAATTTTTTTAAACAGTTAAATTTTAGTTCCTTTAGCTCGACTAGTTAAAGTCAACAAGCCAAGAAGGGTTTTCCAAGTGCACTATGTGCCAGGTATAGTGCAAAGTGCTGGAAAATAATACCATGTGTGATTGAGTACTATACCATAAAGGTTCATATTTTTTTAAAAAGTGTCTTGGGTGTACACTCTAATAAAATATATTGTGCCCACTTCTATGGCTAAGTAAGTTATGCAGTTCTGAGTGCAGATCTTAACTTCAGATCTCTTTTCGCTAAACCAGGGCTGAGGGAACAAAGGAGTAAGTTTCTCAGGAGCAGTTTTCATTTCAACAAATGTGTTTTCAGAAGCTGCTAGGTGTTTGACATCTCAGGCAAATGGAAAACAGGAAAAAAACTTGTGATGCGGTCCCTGCCATCCAGGAGAATTTCAGGACCCCCAAATCCTGTTAGGAGTTTTCGAAGCCTCAGTAGCAGGTTGTGGGCTAGAGGTGCTTAGAAGTGGTCTTCTGAGGGTCCTGTGAATGACAACTTTGAAGGCAGCCTCTGTGCTCCAATGCTGAGCTATGTACATTGCCCCTGTGTGTTATGGTGATTTTGGGACTTTGGAAAAAGTTGAAAAACATTAAATGGATATCATTTAAAGTGGAAGGCCTAAAGTGGCATGCCTGATGTCTTACATAAGCTCCTGGGTGTGATGAAATGTTTTTAAAGAGATCATGAGAGTTCGATTCAGTATAGAAAATGAAAAATAAATGGTAAGGCTGCAGTGGACCATTTAGAGATGCTGTGACTAATTGCAAGAAAAATGGTAGAGCCACTGACAAGCTAAGGAAAATTTAGAAAAATGGCCTATTTAGAGAGAGGCCTGGTGGGAGTGTGATCTGATGGTTAGGTTGGAATGGGATGCAGGGGTTTGGCTCTGTTCTTTCAAATATTTTCCTCCAGAGCTATATGCCTCCTCTCCATTTTCTTGGATGTAAATGATCATTTCCCTTATCCTATAGAGGGGTTGACTATGATTAAAAATCCTGGCTCATGGTTCTACAGTCATATAGCAAAACACAATTTCTTTTTCACAATTTCCTGTCTCATTTTTATGTCTCCCTCATTTTATATCTTTCCTGGCTTGGTAGGAAAGAGAAATGCCCAGAAAGGCTATGTAAGGAAACCACACCACTGCTGTCTTAAGAATTACCTTCCTTCAGCCTGTTTTGTTTTTCTGCCCTGCTAATCTCTAATATAACAATCTTCTCCACAGTAATTAAATATAATATTACAAGCCGAGGAATTTAACTTAAGGTGAAAAATAAATACAGGAGTTGGTGAATCTTATACAATAAACAATTTGCATTTTATGCAGCTGTCATATAGAATTAAGAGGAAATGCTGCAAGGAGAGCTGGACCTTAACTGGGTGGATGTTTGCCACATTCAGTCTCAGAATCCCAGTTCCTTTGAGTCCTTCTGGACTGGAATATGCCCAAAGGTGCTTTGAAGAATGTCAGTGGCATATTGCCACCTTGTGGCCACAAGAGTTTCCCTCTTTATTTATTTGTAACAAAAAAGGCAAATCGGAAAAAAGAAATTTCAGCTTTGTAATTTTCAAGTACATTGAGCTAACATGAACTTTCATGTCTAGTGAATGCTTTTATTTAAAGTGAGCATGTGCACAACTCCAGTGGAGTCAGAATCTGGGTATATACTGAGGACATGGGTGTGGATGTGCCTTTTTTTATATCTAATTGGGCGTTTGTGTATCTGAAAGTCTGTTTCTCCTCAATATGTAAGTAAAAAAAAAAATATGCTTCTGTTCAAGCATGGATTTTTTTCTCCTAAGAACTGGGCAGATATTTTAAAAATAATTATTTTTGTCTGTACCTGTGATTTCATCAGGGTATGGAACTCTGTAATGAAAAAAGTCTATTGATCAGTTTATCGTTCAGTTGTTTCAGTCATTTCAAACTCTTAATGACACCATTTTGGGATTTTCTTGGCAAAGATACTGGAGTGGTTTGCAATTTCCTTCTCCAGTTAATTTTACAGATGAAGAAACTAAGGCAAACAGGGTTAAGTGACCTACCCAGGGTCACAGAGCCAGTAAGTGCCTGAGGCCAGATTTGAACTCTGGGAAGAGGAGACTTCCTGACTCCTTCCAGGCCCAGCACTCTATCCACTGCACCACCTAGCTGCCCCATTACCCATTAACCAATGCAGAGGAACTATTTTGAATCTTACAGCTAGCCTTAGTGAGCTACCCAGAACACTGAGAGATCAAATGACTTGTTCAGGGTCAAAAACTTCATACTTGGACTTTTATCTTACTGACTCTAAGGATGATTCTCTATCACTTTTCCATTCATTCATAAAATTATTAGAATCATAGATTTGGAGCTAGAAGGGATCTTAGAGACTTTTTGGTCAAGTTCAACTTCTCATTTTACAGATGAGGAAACTGAGGGTGAAAAGTTAAGGGTCCTCTGAGGCAGGATTTGAACCCAGGCCTTCTAGAATCTAAGTCTTCTTTTACAGGTGTCATTAAAGTAAATATGGCTAATGGTGCGACAGGAGGGATTTTATTTAAAAAACTAAACAAAACAAAAAAAAAACAAGCAATGTTTTTAATAGCTGAGGAAATGGAAGCTTAGGTTAAGAGACTTGCCCAGTCCTCCAATCAATGTGTGGGCAAAAAGACCCAAACCCAGATCTATCCTCATACCAACTCTGGCATTCTTTCTGCTCTATCATCTGACCTCCCTTCAAGTGATTTTGTCTATTGAAAACCAAAAACCAAAAACAAAAGACACAGTATTGTTTCTTTTTCCCTGTAACAGATTTCCTTTAAAGTACTGTATAATGACAGATGGATCTGCGTGTTGGTGGCACTTTGAAAATACCTGCACGTATCCAAGAATCGATATACAAGTAACTTTCCCTCCTGTGAATAACTGAAGATGTATGTTAATTGTCCACAAGCTCATTTTGCTACTAGGCAGAGAGTCTTACAGATGAAAAACACCACCTTGGATCTCTGCAATTCCCAGAACTAACCAATCAAGTTCAAGACAAAATGGGATGGGGAGAGAGGAAAAGGAAATATGAAGCAAATAGCTCATTAGTCTTGCCTTCTGGGCTTGGAGGGAATGCGATCCCTCAGAAAGTGACACTTGTTTTTTTGTCTTTGCAGCTTGATCACATATTGTCCCCTCCGCCCATGCCATTTCGAAAATGCAGCAACCCTGATGTATCTGCTGTCCCTGGAAAATCCCTTAAATTCAAAAGACAGCTGAGCGAAGATGGGAAACAGCTGAGGCGAGGGAGCCTCGGGGGAGCATTGACTGGTGAGTACCGGGAGGGTGGGTTGCCAGGATGTTACTGGGTTTAGTATTTCTACAGCTTTTCCTTGGAAGAGTCCAGAGTAGCCTGTTATGCCCAAACCCCTCTATAATCTCAGTCTGGGCCTCAGGGAAGTTCTAAGGAGCCATCTGAGGTATAACCATTAGGGTCATGTAGCTCATTTCAGTGGTCAAAACTGGGATTCCAACCCAGTTCTTCTTGACTCCAAGTCCATTTTATCCATTGGGTCAGTTTGCTTCTTACTTGGTTCAGGCCCAGCTGTGAAAATTGGCTCATTTGAAAATGTATTGGTTCCCAAGCCTTCTGGCAGATGACATTTGCCCAAACATAGGAAACTTTGATTCAGAGTTAAAAAACAACAAAAATAAAACAAAATAAGGAACATCCAGAAGACCCAAGTTTGAATTCTGCCTCAGATTAAATTCTTTAGTCTTCACCACCATGCCTCAACTGCCTTCTTTTGGTGCCTCTGCAGCCCCGTTCTCCCATTTGTGAGTTCTTGGAATCTCCATTTTGGGGAAGATCAGCCAATTCTTCATTCTCTGAGCTTTGCCTTCATTCCTCAGCTGCCTTCTTCCTCTTCCCCTGCAGTCCACCCTTTCACCTCCTACCCTTGCTTTTCAGCTCTATGGAGGGAGAGAGAGAAAACATTCACATTCATCTACTAAGCCACTTGAGGGCAGGATCTATCATTCTCTTTCCTGGTATATAGTAAGCACTTAATTAATGCTTGTTGACTAGCTGCAGGATAATTAGCAAGTCATTTAATCTTTATGTGCCTCAGTTTCCTCAAATATAAAGTGAGGGGTCAAACTTGATGGCCTCTCTGATCCCTGGTTTGTCTATTTTCTCACAGGAGTCTACTTTCTTGATAGGACTAATCCTATTCCTGCCTTGCTCCTGGATAAGGAGTAGCTCTTTTATGGCCATAGCCTTACCAATAGTCCTGTCAACTAGCTGTCTTCCATGCCTGGAATGATCTCCTTCCTTACCCCGGCCTCCTAGTTCCTTCAAGTCTCATCATCTGCATGGTCTTCCCTAGTGATCCTTGGTCTTGGTGCATTTCCTCTGAGATTACCCCCAGTTTATCTTGTATATATCTCGTTTATTTATGTAGTTGTTTGCATGTTGTTTCCCACTTTAGCCTGCGAACTGTTTGAGAGCAGAGATGTTTTTTTGCCTTTCTTTTTGTTACCAGTGCTTACCACAGTGCCTGGCCCAGAGCAGATATTTAATAAATGTTAGTTGACTGCCTACCAAATCTTGGTCATAACTATGAGGCCAAATTTACTGAAAGGATCCTTTTTTCCTGTTCATTTTATGCACATTTGTGTATCGTCATCATCATCTCATTTGGTAAGTGTTATTATTGACCATCTTTCTGGCTGTTGTTTTCTTACAAATAAGCCAGATTCTTTACTACTAGTTTTCTTACTGTGTTATAATTGTTACTGTATTCCAGCGGTGGGGAACCTGCGGCCTCGAGGCCACGTGTGGCCCTCTAGGTCCTCAAGTGCGGCTCTTTGAGTTCAAGTTTTATAGAACAAATCCTTTTATTAAAGGGATGTGAATATTTCTCTCTCTCTCCACATTCAGTTAAAAGACCTCTTGATTAGATTTGCAAGTGTCCCAGACAAATATTTTATATTGCTTTCTGTTGGACTTATTTTATCACTGCTCATTCCTGTATCTCAAGTCATGATCCAGAAAACCAAACCTTGGCCAGCAGCAAAATCCCTTAATATATAAACAATTTCTTCGTATTTCTGTGAAAATGAAAACAAGTCTCCAAATGATACTGGAGAGCGGAGATGTCAAACTTGCTGCTAGCCTCAAACTGCCTGAACCAGATTAAAATGTAATTGGTAAATGTTTAACAAAATAAATAAAAATGCAGTACCACATGGGTAATGTTAATTGGCAGTTTTCTAGTTAATATATGGCCAGCAGAGATCCTTTCCTATTTGAGTTTTACACATCTGTCTAGAGGATTTTGAAATTTATTTTTATAATACAATTTTGCCTATCAGATATTTCAAACTGATGTCCTGGAGACATCTTAAACTCACCATATTCAAAACCAAATTTACTGTCCCTCAACCCTCTTCCATATTTTTCTGTTTCTGTTGAAGATGCCACCATTCTTCCAGGCTGCCAGGTCCAAATTTTGGCATCATCCCAGACTTCTTACTTTCTACCACTCCATATAATGGGCTAAATTGCCAAATCTGGTCATTTCTCACTTCATAACATCTCTTGTACCTGGACCCCTTTTCTCTACCCTCACAATTACCACCTTTGTTCTGACTTCTTGCCTACATTATTATTTTTTTTTTGCCTTTTTTTTGGTGAGGCAATCAGGGTTAAGTGACTTGCCCAGGGTCACACAGCTAGGAAGTGTCAAGTGTCTGAGGCTGGATTTGAACTCAGGTACTCCTGACTCCGGGGCCAGTGCTCTATCCACTGCACCACATAGCTGCCCCTTGGGATTTTCTTGGCAAAGATACTGGAGTGGTTTGCCATTTCCTTCTCCAGCTCATTTTACCGATGAGGAAACTGAGGCAAACAAGATTAAGTGACTTGCCCAAGGTCACACATTTAGTTAAGTGTCTGAAGCCAGATTTGAACTCATGAATATGAGTCTTCCTGATTTCAAGGAATCTACTCACTGTACCATCTAGCTGCCTGCTTGGAATGTACTCCCTCCACATACTTGAAAACCTATCTGTTCCTTCACAAGTCAACTTTTCCTTCATAAGCTCTCCTTCCTGTTAAAGTTTTTTTTTTTTTCTGATCCCCTCCACTCCTAGAGCCCTTTTACTTGAATGTTTTTTTTTTAGCCTTTTATTTGAATGTTTTTTATCTTTTTGTATTTTTAAAATATTTATACTATGTATTCTTATTTCAGTCCTTGCCATCACCCCCATTAGTAGAAATTGTTTCATTTATTGTATTTTTACCCTCAGCACTAGAATAGTACCTAACACAAAAGAGATGCTTAATAAATATTTGTTCACAAATTGATAACAGTTATCCCATTTTCTCATTGGAAAACGTCCTAGATTAGTATTTGAGATTTCTAGTTACTGGGAACGTTGGATACTGCAGCCTGACTACTTGGAATCAATTGCAGGTGGTGGTGGTGGCAGAGATTTAGGTGTCATCTGAGTAGCTAATCTAATAATACATAATTTAATCCCATAATCCCATAATATGGCTGTTGAAACTAGACACTTTTCTAGGGACAAAGGTAATAAGCAGTCCAGGAGTAGAGACAAGTAGGTGAGGAGGAAGGGAGATATTTTTTTTCCTTTGGATCTCTAAGCAGTAACTGCTTAATCAATTCTTGTTGATTGAATGACTGATAGTAGAATCCTTGAGCAAACACCCAGCTTTGGGGATAGAAAAGTATATCATTGCCTTCCACCCTGACCCAGTGGGATAGTTATTGGTGACAAGGTTCTGTCCTTGAAACAATCTATACAAATTGTTTCTTCTTGACTACCATTTTGATTCAGTAGCTATAGGATATTTTATTAAAAATAAAATTGGACAATTTCTCTTCAGTGCTGGTCAGAGGTTAGAGGCACGTAAACAACAGGACCCCAGGGGCTGCAGTTTATTGAGTACCTTATCATCTGGTGGTGGAAGTTGTTTGGGAGGAGGGGTGAGGAAAGGGGAAGGAGATTCACTTTTTATACACCCCAGTACGTGGAGGTCTCTTAAAAGTACTGTGTAAACATTTACTGATATTCCAGTACCCTGGTGAGGGAGATGAGGCAGTATTCTAATCATTTTTCAGACCCATAAAGTGCGGCCAGGAGATGTTGTAGTATGCCTGACGGTTCACAGCAAGGAAGTTACAGAACGAGAAGGAGAACGTCAGGATCTCAACTTCTGGCTGCTTGATGTGTAAATGAATGCCCAGAAACCATTTACAGTCACTGGGACTGGGGTCTGCATCATGGACTTCATAGCCAAGGATTGAAAGGCATCTTTTCTTTATAAAGAGAGAAGCAGCATTTCTTTTGAATGCTTGAGTGTTTGGGATAGAGTGAGGGTGGAATACATACATATGTATTGTACACATGTACCACACATGTATTATAGGTATGTATGTAGTTCACATACAGTACAGCACACACAACGCTATCCAGTTCTCTATATACATGTATATTCACGCACACACATGCAATACACATGTTCTCATATATATGCATACATAGGCATGTATTGTGTATACATGAGTATATATAATAATATATTTCTATGCACAGAATTGACCATGTGTTATATATGTAAGCACGTGCATGGTATACACAAATATGTCTCTGAAGAACTTTGGAATTGATTGTATGACATGGTAGACACTGGCACAGTACCTTCCAGCATGGCGTGCCCACATCAAAGACGGCACTGTGCTGTATGAGCAAAGCAGAATTGCAGTAGCTCAAAAGAAACGTAAGATGCGCAAATTTAGAGACATCTCCACTCCAAATATTCAAGCGGACTATTTGTGCCCAACCAGTGGTAGAGCCTTCCGAGCTCATATTGGTCTGATCAGCCACAGTCAGACACACTGTACCTTCACCCCAACATAGTGATGTCATCACACGGTCCTCGAGAAGGAAGGACAACAAGCAACCAACAACCACTACATATATGTACAATACACAGAAATGTATACTTATGCACGATATGTGTTTGTGCAGATACCATGCACATTGTTCATCTATGTGTATAATATAAACATGCACGTGTGTATGCACACATGCAGTACACAATACATGTATGTACACGTACACACATGTGCGCACATGTGCATATGCACACATGTAATTAGGAAAACAGAAATAAAATATTAGTGCCTAAATCAATTAATAACCTCAACTGGTATTGTAATGTTACATCTGGTGCAAAAAACAAATGCAAGTGTTTTTCTTTTATGAAGTGTGCAGATTAATTAAGAATGACATACTGGGGG